GCTTTTCTCTCATTTTTCCCACTAGGCTGATTGCTACTCCCTTGCTTTTCACTCAAACTCTTTTTTTCTCTCAACTCATTTTCTTTTGTTTCTTTTTCACTTTTTGCTTTTGCATCAGCCTCTTGCCTCTTCTTTTCAAGTTTGCATTGATCAACATGCACATCTTTTGGTGACAAAGGTACAAGAGTAGTTTTTCTTCCATGATGAGTAAAAGAATAGCGATTGGCATACCCATCATACATTACCCGACGGTCAAATTGCCAAGGTCTACCCAACAATATATCCCCGGCATGCATAGGTACAACATCACACAAAACATCATCAACATATTTTCCAATAGCAAAAGAAACAAGAGCTTGTCTACTCACCTTTACCTCCCCACAATCACTCAACCATTGAAGTTTATATGGTCTAGGATGTGGTTTTGTCTCTAAGTTAAGCCTCTTGACCAGAATAGAACTTACAACGTTGGTACAACTACCACTATCAATAACCACACTACAAGGCACAGTTTGGACAAGACACCTAGTGTGAAATAAGTTCTCTTGTTGGTCTAGGCCATCCTCCTTAATTTGAGTACTGAGAGCTCTCCTAGTGACTAAGGACATATGTGTAGGGTCCTCTTCACTATACTCCTCACTCTCACACTCACCATTGTCGTCCTCTTCTACCTCATCTTCCTTCTCATCTTCTGTTACAAACTCTCCTTCTCTAATTATCATAGTTCTTCTATTAGGGCAGTCTCGACTGTAATGTCCTACTCCTTGATATTTCCAGCATTTAATATCCCGATTTCTCACATTAGGTTCATCAACTTTTCTTTCCCCTTCTTGGAACTCTCTCCTTTCTCAAACTTTTCTTTTGGTTTCTCATATTGATATGAACCAAAGTGTCTTAGTCTTCAAAGAGTTAAAGGAAGTTGTTGGAGAATCCTATGTCCAAGTTAACAACAAATTGGAGTTGCATTAAATGCACTCTAGTGTCATTTATGGCAACCTCAAGTGGCATTGAATGAAGTCAAGAACGAGTCCAACTTCATTTACTACAAACTCAAGTTGCATTAATGGAAGTCTAAGTTGAACTCAAGATGCATTAAATGAACAAGACTTCAAAGTACTTGAAAGTAGTTCAAACTCCAGTTCATTCACTCTTGAAGGGTTACAAACTCTTGGTTTTATGGTGGAGGAGTTTCATTCTCGGATTTAAAGCATGTTTAATTGTATTTTCAGTTTTAAACATTTCATTTATGTGTTTTAAGTTTTATTTGTGTTAGTGGTGGTTATGGTATTGATGTAGTAGGGAGTTACAACCTTTACAATTCTTTTAGGTTACTTGAAGGGTTGTTTTGGACGCTATAAATAGCCTAGCTTGTTCCCTTGRAAAAACAGATTTGAGATTTGAGATTTGAGTTTTGAGATAATGAAATTTAACCTTATTGAGCCATGAGCTTTTCCTTTGCATTTCTTGTGTTTTAGAATTGCATGCTAGAATCATTCAAGTAGCCTTGATCAGACTATCTTGTGGAGTGGTTCGAATCTTGAGTTTAGAAACAAGTTTTCTCTACTCTTGATATTGATCATCAAGGTAAATCCGTTCTAACTTCTTCCTTGGGTTGACATCATCTCGATTTGGGGGTTTTAACATTTGTGATCTAGGGGTTTGCATAACCATAAGGGTTCTTAGATCCAATTGGCTATTGTTTTCTTATCACATATGCCTCTCGATTTCTAAGTTTAGAATCAGCACTCTTACTATCCGTTTTCCATGTAGAAGATGAATGGGAAAATGGCTTAGTAGAATACCTTTGAGATCGCCTTTGGAGCTGCTTCTCAATTTTGATGGCAAGGTGCAACATCTCTTCGATGTTAAAGTAAGGTTGTAGATCAACCTTATCCGCAATCTCCTTGTTTAAGCCATTAAGAAACCGTGCCATGAGATTCTCCATGTCCTCTTCAAGATCCAGCCGATTCATCAACGTATCCATCTCCTTGTAATAGTCCTCCACAGACTTACTACCTTGTCTCAACACTTGGAGCTTTTGCGCTGTTTTCCTGTGGAAATGTCTAGGAACAAATCGCCTCCTCAACAACTCCTTGAACTCATACCATGAATCGATTGGCGCCTCAAGGTTTCGTCTCCTAATTGACATTAATTTGTCCCACCATGTTACTACATAATCTTTGAATTGAGCAAGACATAGTCGTACCTTCTTTTCTTCACTGAAATTATGGCAATCAAACACGAACTCCACTTCTTTCTCCCATTGAATGTA